GCCTGTTCATGTAAGGATGCAGCCTTCTTTATGGCAGCATATGGAGAATGGGGCTCAGCAATTGAATTGCATCTTAAACACATGCCGATTCATGAGGCAGCCCTCATCACTCAGCCCTGACGGCAGTGCTGCTGGCGCTCGTACTGCCTGTGGCTTTACAGAAACGTCTGTTGACCCTTGATGGAGTTTTGCACTTTCTGACTTTTTCAACAGGCATTGGCAACAAAGCCTTCTCTATATCTTGTGCAAGTGAAACATGTCTGCAAGTAAACAAGATCAGATATTCACAGACTTATACAATGCCTCAAGTTAAAAAAACCCTCAAACATGAATTCCTCAAAATTCATCTAAAATGTTACATATTTAAATTAACTTTTCCTAAGAATAGAAACATCCGATTTAACATAGTCATTTACAAGGTTTAATGCAGGCACCCAGAGGAAGAAATAGTACGATGAACACTGCCATGTGTAAAACCTGGCACAAGAAGAGTAGAAGATAAAGAGTGGGTAGGGGTTGTATTGTAAGATGACAGGGGGGCTTTTTTCTTATATATTTCCTTTTCAATTTTTTGCAAAGCAATCACCTAATTTTTTTGAGAAAAGTTATAATAAATAGTTGTGGAAAGAATGTGCAGCTTAAAAGGCATATGATAAGCACAAATATATTTTTTTCTAAAACTCTATAAAACAGGAATAGAGTTCACTTTGGATATAATTTTGTTTTACTATGTACCTCCTTCTTTTAATTTTTTGAATCATGTGAATATATTACCTATTTTTAAATATATATATATATATGTGTGTACACACACACACACACCATATATCATATGTTTATTTTGCTTCCCCAAATGCCACTCTTCTGTTTCATTCTTTATATTCACAGCCCATGCATCATATATTGTGGGTCTGAGGGAGGTCAATAAATAGTGATCCTCTTTGTCAGGTTCTGATTCCCTACAGAATTAAGACAAAAGAATGAGCAGATAGGACACCAAAATAAAAGGCCAGGTAGGAAGATACAACATTAATCAGCAGGTAAGTTTTCTTCCTAAGTACAAAAATCCTGAAAGGAAATCAATTCATTGATAGTGTCCCAGGTAGAGCTGAACTGGGGCATCTACCGCACATGCTGGAGTAATATGCAAGATACTTACACCCTGTATGCTATGGCACCTACCAACAGAACCAGTCCTCATCTGTAAATAGCATGTCCAGCCGTACAGTTGTAAGGGCCTGCCCATGCAGGGCCTGATTCTGTACTCAGTGTAGAGAGTAGCAGAGAAAAATGCCTGCTGTCTGAGGGCAGGCCAGCTCCTGAAGAGAAGAGAACCCACAGAGAGCTTCTCCTTCCAGCTCACCAATCAGGTCAGTCATTTCTCCTCTCAAGGGGAAGAAGGAGGGAGGGAAGAGACAGAAACCAGGAGTGGCACCAGAATCACAAATAGAGATAGAAGGATACATTACAAATAGAGATGATTTCTCTGGGAGAATAGAAAAAAGTGTAAAACTGTGAAAAGTTGTACCAAAGCTTCTAAGAAAATAACCACGGTGCTATGAGAGACGCCAACAGTGGGATGAACCTATATACGTATATTTCCAAAATGAGTGCTGTGGACTGATTTGCTCCCCTTCCCCCAAATTCCTATGCTGAAGCCCTCCCTAACCCCTCCCCCTCATGTGACTGTATTTGGAGATAGGGCCAATGAGGAGATAATTACAGTTAAATGTCATCATAAGGGTGGAGCCCTGATGGGATTAGTGTCCTCATTAGAAGAGACACCAGAAAGCTTGCTCTCTCTCTTTCCTCCATGCCCCCTCAAGAAAGAAGAGGTCATGTGAGAACATAGTTCTCGTGGTGTCTGCAAGGCAAGAGAAAAAGCCTCAGAATGAAACCTACCTTGCCAGCACCTTGATCTTGGCCTCGCAGCCTCCAGAACTGTGAGAAATAGGTGTCTGCTATTTAAGCCACCCAGCGTGTGTTATTTTGTTACTGCAGCCCTAGCAAACTTACACAATGAGAGCAGAATTCTTTTTTCTTTTCTTTTCTTTCTTTCTTTCTTTCTTTTTCTTTCTTTCTTTCTTTCTACCTACCTACCTACCTACCTACCTACCTACCTACCTACATACCTATCTACCTGTAGGAGAAACTATATGTATACAATAGGAATGTAGATGAAAAAGTGCTCAATATCGCTCAGCATCAGGGAAATCCAAATCAAAACCTCAATGAGATACCACCTCACACCA